GGCGGAGAAGGAGGAAGAGGAGGGGGATGAGGAGGAGGAGCTGGTGGGGGAGGAGGAGACGGAGGAGTTGGAGGATCAGGATGGAGGAGGAGGAGGAAGCGGAGGAGGAGGAGGATGAGGAGGAGGAGGATGAGGAGGATGAGGAGGAGGAGAAGGGGGACTAGAACGAGGACGATGGCGATGAGGAGTAGAGGGAGGAGGAGGAGGAGGAGAAGGAGGAGGATGATGATGATGAGGAGGAGGAGGAGGAGAAGTAGCAGGAGGGGGAGGAGGAGGAGGATGCGGATGAGGAGGAGGATGAGGAGGAGGAGGAGGAGGCGGAGGAGGTGGAGGAACTGGAGGATGATGAGGAGGAGGAGGCGGATGATGATGATGAGGAGGATGAGGAGGAGGAGGGGAGTAGTAAGATGAGGGCGAGAAGGAGGATACTGACGAGGGAGAGGATGCTGCTGCTGCAACTGATGATGATGTTGCTGATGATGATGCTGATGATGCTGATGCGGTTGATGCTTCTGCTACTGATGATGGTGATGCTGCAGCTGTTGATTATGGTGATAGTGATGAATGTGATGCTGCTGATGATGGTGCTGATGCTGTTGCTGATGATGCTGATTGTCATGATGATGTATGCTGCTGACGATGATGCTGCTGCGGATGCTGATGCTGATGCTGCTGATGATGAGGCGGACGATCATGCCGATGACGATGCTGCTGCTGCTGCTGATGATGATGATGATGCTCATGCTGATGCTGCGGCTGCTGAGCATGATGCTGTCGATGATGATGATGCTGCTGATGAGAATGGCGATACTGATGATGATGATGCTGATGATGCTGATGCTGATGGTGGTGATGCTTATGCTGATAATGAGGAGGATGATGAGGAGGATGGTGATGAGGAGGCGGAGGACGAGGAGAAGGAGGAATTGGAGCAGGAGGAGGAGGAGGAGGAGGAGACGGCGGATGATGACGATGATGATGATGATGATGATGATGATGATGATGCTGATGCTGATGATGATGATGCTGATGCTGATGCTGATGCTGATGCTGATGATGATGATGCTGATGATGATGATGACGATGATGATGCTGACGATGATGATGCTGCTGACGATGATGATGATGCTGATGCTGATGTTGACGAGGCTGCTGATGCTGATGATGATGATGGTGATGATGATGATGATGATGCTGGTGATGAGGATGATCGATGATGCTGATGCTGCTGTTGCTGATGATACTGATGCCGATGCTGATGATGCTGATGCTGATGATGATGCTGATGCTGCTGATGCTGCTGTTGATGCTGCTAATGCTGCTGCTGATAATGCTGCTGCTGATGATGATAATGATGATGATGCTGATGATGCTGATGATGATTATGACGATGATGCTGATGCTGATGGTGATGCTGCTTGTGGTGGTGATGATGCTGGTGATGGTGATGATGCTGATGCTGCTGCTTCTGATGATGACGGTGCTGATGATGATACTGATTGTGAGGATGCTGATGATGATGATGCTGATGATGATGATGATGTTGATGATGATGCTGATGATGATGTTGATGATGATGCTGATGCTGATGCTGGTGATGCTGATGATGATGCTGATGCTGATGTTGATGATGATGCTGCTGAGAAGGAGGAGGCGGAGGAGGAGGAAGACTGAGGAAGGAGGAAGCAGGACGGCGGGAGGAGGAAGGAGGAAGGAGGAAAGAGGAAGGAGCAAGGAGCAAGGAGGAGGAGGAGGAGGCGGATGATGATGATGATGATGATGATGATGATGATGATGATGATGATGATGATGATGATGATGATGATGATGATGATGATGATGTATTATGATGCTGATGCTGATGCTGATGCTGATGCTGATGCTGATGTGATGATGATGATGATGATTGATGATGATGATGATGTGATGATGATGATGATGATGAGGAGGAGGGAGGACGAGGATGATGAGGATGAGGAGGGAGGAGAAGGAGGAGGAGGAGGAGGAGGAGAGAGGTGGAGGAGGAGGAGGAGGAGGGATGAGGATGAGAGGAGGGAGGAGGAGGAGGAGGAGGAGGAGGAGGAGGAGGATGAGGAGGAGGAGGAGGAGGAAGAGAGAGGAGGAGGAGGGAGGAGGAGGAGGAGGAGGATCAGGATGGAGGAGGAGGAGAGGAGGAGGAAGAGGATGAGGAGGAGGAGGAGGAGGAGAGGAGGAGGAGGAGGAGGAGGAGGACGAGGAGGAGAGCGGAGGGAGGAGGAGGAGGAGGAGAGGATGAGGAGGACGAGAGGAGGAGAGGAGTATGGAAGATTGGGAGGGAGGAGGAGGAGAGGAGGAGGAGGGAGGAGGATGAGGATGAGATGAGGATGAGGAGAGAGGAGGAGGAGGATGAGGAGGAGTCTTAGGATTTTGGGGGTAACTTGAGGAGGAGGAGGAGATGAGGCATTCGAGGAGGAGGAGGGGCGGGAGGAAATGAGAAAGAAAGACATCAGCACTCGGAGGAATACCTCGAGTGGGAAGAGTAGGAGGATGACGGAAGCGGGATGACTAGAACGAGGACGATTACGAGGACGAGCAGGAGAGATGAGGAGGAGGAGGAGGCGGAGGAGGAGGAGGAGGAGCAGGAGGAGGAGGAGGAGGAGGAGAAGGAGGACGGGGGAGGAGGGCAGATGACTGGTGCCGACTGCGGGTGCCTCGAGGGAGGGTGCGGGGACAGAGAGAGAAAGGGAGAAAGAGAGAGAGAGAGAGATCGATAACTAAATAAAGAGAGACACACATACATACACACATATATATATATATATATATGTATATATATATATAGCGATGACAGACAAAAACACATAGAAGCAGAGGGACATAAGGACAGAGCGACAGAGAGGCAGAGAACCTCGAGAGGGGGGAGGGTGCGTCCACGCAGTGGGAACCAAGGAGGGGGGAGGATGAAGAGGAGGATGAGGATGAGGATGAGGATGAGGATGAGGATGATGATGATGATGATGATGATGATGAGAAGGAGGAGGAGAGTAGGAGGGAGGAGGAGGAGGATGGAGGAGGAGGAGAGGAAAGGAGGAGGAGGGATTGATGAGGAGAGGAGGGGCGGCGGAGGAGGCGGAAAAAGGAGGAGGGGGAGGAGAGAGCCGCTCGGGATGCCGCCCGCGGCACGCTTCGGGAGAGGCAGCGCAGCGCATGCCCCTGCGGGCGGGTGCCGCCCCGACGCGCGTGGGCCTCGGGCTGTGCGCCCATCGCCAAGGCCCAGCTGCGCAGCCGCGCATCTCCGCCGCCTCGATGGATGCCCCCCTCTCCTCCTCCTCCTCCTCCTCCCCCTCCCCCCTCCTCCTCCTCCTCCTTCCCGCCTCCTCATCCTCCTCCTCGTGCTCCTCCTCCTCCTCCCCCTCCCCCTCCTCCTCCCCGTCCCCCTCCTCCTCCATCTCTCCCCCTCCTCCTCCTCCCCCTCCTCCGCCCCTGATGGGACAGCTTACAGTCGGGGACTTTCGGATTGCGTGTCGCTCTGCCAGTTCTGGCGCCACCACGCCTCGGCGCGACTCGCTGTCCACTCACCCATCTCCCGAGCGTCAACGTCCCGAGCATTCCCGAGCCTCCCACCCCGCGGAGCGGAGCTACACGCTATCCGCTCGCAAGGCATAGCGTGTCGCCAGGGCTGCCGCGGCGACACGCCGAGCAAAGTTCCCGGCCATATTTCATGTGTGGCGGGGGGGCCTTCTTCACGGGCGCGCGCCGTCCCAACGCGCATGCTCTCAAGTGCAGCGTTTATCCGAGGTCCTGCTGCGCAGCCGCGTCTTGGGCCAGGCTGCGCCACGGCGCGCCTGGGGGGGGGGGGGGGAGGGAGAGGGAGGCGGCCTCAGGAAGCGGCGGGGCTTCTCAGAAGCCCCCGCGCCTTCGATGCGGGATGATTGTGGTATAGTGTGTCTTGGAATACTTGCATTATGCGTCGCATCCTCGCACGCGTGTTCACGCGGGCATTCTGTTTGTGCGAACGGACGTGGATCTCTCGCGCTCTCTATGTATACACACGTACATTGGTTCGTACTGATATATATATATATATATATATATGTATGTGTATACACACATTTGAATATGTGTATAGATGTATGCGTGTGTATATCAATAGGTCACAAGGGTTATCCTTCAATGCGCCCTTCTAGCCTCGGACAGGCGAGTAATCTCACTTGCGGAACTTACGACTTACCTGATCCATGTTATGCCCCTTTTCACGCCTACATCCATTTTCTGGGCGCCAGCGTCGCAGTTCGAACCGCCCGTGCGCAGTGAAAGTCGCATCAGCAAGCGGCCGCTTCAGCGAAAACAACATTCCAAATACCCGTCTGTAGCACGGCATATGTCACTTAGTGAACATATTGCCAGAGTGGTGGTGGGGGGGGGGCGAACGGTCGTTCACTGTCCCTAGGTGCGTGGCTGAAGTGGGATTCCGCTGTGCGAATGCTCGCTGTTGTCCTTGCTGCTGTTCCCCCCCCCCCGCGACTGACTCGCGACCCACCTGCGACACGCTCGCGACCTACCCCGTGACCCGTCCGCGACCCATTCGCGACCCTCCTGCCCGCACCCACATCCCCTCCCACGGTCCTCACTCGAATCGCAATTGCGGGGCGCCATGTAAACTAATGCTCTTCCACTTACATGCTCTACTTCGTGCGCCTCAACGTAAAAACAGTCCGCGTAACAAACTTATTCTGCAAAGGTGCGCGAGAGCAAAAAGCTGCTGGCCGTTTGTTCGCAGTCGTGCGTGGAGCTGACGGTGCGCGCGAAGCAGCTGGGCGTTTCGCAATAGTCACGCGCGGAGCTGCAGGCCTACGCAAAGCAATGCGCCTGACTTCGCTCTCCGCACTTCTTCGACAGAATTGTCCTTGGCACGCTCAATATTGCGCTTAATTGCCTGTCTCTTCTCAAACAATGGCAGGGTAGCAGCCGCGAGAAGATCCGATCCCTCGCGCTGCAGTTGCCCACAATATGAAGACCAATTAGCCGACGGGATTGCCATTGAGGCGGCAGCTCTTGCCAACACGTCGCCCTGTCTGAGCTGGCGCAGCGTCGGGCTATACATCGCTGTATTGTGGGAAAGCAGCCTGCCAAATTTGTTGATGCGGAAATGAAGTTCGGCCGTGTTGGAAAACCATTCAGCTCCATTCCTACACCATTGGTTCATACCGCGATGCGCAGTTTCGTTTCCAGACGTGCCCGACGACATCAGCGACAATCTTGAAAAGGGTAGCGAGTGTCTGTGCCCCTGATTATTGAAATAAAAATGCAACTTGTGCTGCGACGTCGCGTTGAAAAGAAGCCTCTTCAAAGTAGAACCATCCGCAGTTTTTCTTTTCATTTCCACGGAGTGGACTTTGCTTAGCGCAGCCAGGGGCCTGATGAACTCGAACGGCGTGGCCCAGGGCACGTCGCCGTCCAGATGATTCACTATGTTCTGCGCGTGCTTCCCGCCCATTGACGAATGCAAAATCTGGGACCTCGCGTCGGTCTCCGAGAGGCTGAATGCAATGCTCTCTACGCCTGTGTGAGGAGGGCCCCACTGGTCGCTCGGCAGGTCGCTGCGCACCTTCGTCAGCTTGGCCATTATCAGCCGAAGCACCCTGGACCCTGGCGAACGTTTGTTCCCATGCGCGTACTCATAAGCAATGGGCAAGTGCACGGGATCCAGGGACAAGAACTTCAAATTCGGAAGCACTTCCTTGAGATGCTCGAAGAGCGGGCCGCTGCATTGGTCAGACGCAACCGACGTTACCTGATCGCAGCAATACTGAGGCCACATGCTCTGCAATGTGTCTCGGATAATAGGGCTGGCCTCGTTGCGAACCAAATGCATCCCAACTAGCGCACCCGTGCGACCAAGCACTGTGAGGACTCGACGAGGTGCTTCCGCGTCAGGCACAGGGGCCGCGTCTCGCACTGCGGCGGAGGATCGAACATCGGCTTGTCCCCGCACGCGCATCATCACCTGCCCAGAAACAGCGCGAGATTCAGCCCTCGCTCCCCAGCCCTGCATCGCTGCCCTGCCCCTCGCCCTGCCCCCCCCCGCCTCTTTCGCATTGGAATTTCAATCATATCCAAACGAATGAGGTGGGATCGCAGTCCCCCCCCATCCCCCCCCTCTCCCCCATCACCTCACCTTTCCTCGCCCTCTTCCCCTGTTTGATGGGCCCATGGCCCGGAAAGTTGCATCCATTGACCTATGTTCAAACTTTTTGTGATCGGCGCACTCGCGCATCATGAGCTGCCCGCGTTCCAGGATGAACGGGCAAGCATACGCGTCTTCTAAGAGCATCAACCAGTGGACCACGTTGGTGGGGAGCAGGCTCACCAGCTCCGACCCCTGGCGCATCGAGCGCTGGGGGAGATTCGGAACCATTGACCGAACTCGCGCATGGTGCAGCAAGGAAACCTGAACCAATAGCTCGGCAAATCCGCGCGTATAATACGTGTGCCCCGCTCTGCGGCAGCCGCCGGCTTGAAATATAGCTGATTTGTTCTGGTATCGGGGGCCGTCCTCCGACAGCACCAAAACAATCTCTCTGTCGATGCACGTGTGGTCGCTGCGGGGCGACGGCGTGATCGAAGACCGCATGGGGGCAGCAGACCTGACCAAATATGAGCCTCCATCTTCTCGGCGCAACTTATCGGAATCGAACAATGCAGGGATTGCAGTCAATTGTTTCCTGCCGCTCGCCACGTAGTTTTTACTCTTCACGTGGTGATCCCTCACGTGGGCGGTCAGCAGCCGAGAAGAGCTGAATTTCCTGAAAGGGCAGAAGGCGCAAGGAAAGGTCTTGCAGCCCCGCGAGCCCGTAATTCGCTGGAGATTCGCATCTCTCTCGCCTCGCAGCATTCCCGAAAGGACAGAGGAGACGTCCACTGTGGACTCGTCGTCGGCATCTCCTGCTGACTGCTCTGGCTCGTGCAAGTCGGCGCTGCCTGTGCCTGCCTGCAAGTCCAAGAGCTCGCGCAAGTCAGCGACGCAGTCGTGATCTTGGTATACCGATGACGGCGGAAAGACCTCTCGCCCAACGTGGAAAGTCACGATGGAGGCCTTGTCGAGGGCCTGGACGCTCGCGCAGGCCACCGCAGAGAAAGGCAAATGCATCTCATGACCCGGAGAGCACGATGCATTCGTTGCTCTCCGCATCGTACTTACAAGCAACCCCGTGCGGGCGCCCGCGAGGTTCCGAATGGATGATGTAGGACCCCGATGTCGTGGGGCAAAATCCGAAATGCGGTTCCATGATAACTTTGTACTCACTTCCACATTCCCGGTAAGACCTGGCCCCGCTTGCCTTGGCGGTCTCATTCCAACGCGACGGAGAAGCTAAAGCATTTTGGATGTCCACGGGGGACAAGCCGAGGTCGTGGATGCCCGCGGGGATGCAGTTGCCGTCGGCATGAAGCAAAGAACAATTTTCTCCGCCGTTGGAGATTGCATGTCGTTTTGCCGCGGCCTGATCCAGGAGCTCGAGAAAGAAAAAAAGGTGCTTCTCAACGATGTCCACTGCAAAGCCCGTTTGCTCTGCAAAGTGCACCGTGGCGTCCCCGCAGAAGGCCTCGACGGACCCGTGCGTGGCCGTCGCGCGAGACCGATCTACCCTGATCCCGTCGTAGTGAAGCGACAGATGCTGCGCAGGGTATTGCAACATCCAATCCATTCAGACCCGCAAGACGTAATCCTCGCCACGGCCGGAAACAAGCGCTGGATACCGCCCGCGAGGCATGCGTTGACTCCCAGGAGACCGAGCAAAGAGCCTGGCTGGATACTTCTCAGAGCGTAAATCCGCAGCCGCAGCGGCGCGGCAGTGCATTGCTGGATTGCTGGAGAGCTGCGCAACGGGGGGCCTGCCTTCTCCCTAAGAATCGTGACAATCGCATCCAACGGCAACCCCAGTCACCCATCCTCCCGCACTAGATCCCCCCATGCTCCCTGGCGCCCCGACATGCTTCCCGCCCTCTCAACCACCTGGACAGCGGCGCTGCTTCGGAAGCGCCGGAGGCAGCTGAATTGTTCACGGATATAGACAACAAGGGCTGCTGCAGGATCCCCGTCTTCGTGCCGCGCGCAACTCTCTTGAGTTTCTGCGGCGAGGTTTCCACTGCTCCTTGACCAGCTGGATTCCGCCTATCGCCGCCCAAGTTTATGGCGCTGTCCATGTCGCGCTCTGCGTTTCTGAGCTTCTTTGATTCGTCCGCCAGCAAAATCCCTTTGGAAGCCATGACAGTGCCCGTCCTTCGGCCAGCTCTTCTTTCGTTCCTGAGCCCGTTGGCCTCGACGCCAATCATGACCTGCGCGTTGTCTGAACGGGCGGGGAACTTGAACAAATATTCCCGCAAGGCTCCGACATCGATAAGTTCGGGGCACGTCGGTGACGGGCTGTCTGGGCGTGGCGCCAGCGTCGAGTAGTCCACAGCAGTACGCAGAACAGGGATCTGCGGTGCCTTTTCTTTTCCCTTGGCAACGGCCGGGGCTCACTGATCAGAATCCTCAAGCTCCTTCCAAGACGCTGGTCGGGACTTCCCCTCAGGCACTAATTGAGGCGCCGCGTTGAGCACGGCAGCTACGACGCGGTCCAACCGATTGTCCAGAAGGTGACGGAGAAGGGTGGCGCGAGAACGATCGTCCGCAGCCACGGGGGCCTGATCTTCAGCACCTGCAGCGAGGTCGATGCCAGGGGGGCTGCCGCTGCCGCGAGCCCGCCGCGACGACCGCGCAGGAAGGTTACGCGCAGCTCTCATGTGCATCTCCGTCATCCCGTGGTCTCCACCGCGCAGCGTGTAGTCGTCCAGCGCTCGCCGCGCGGCCGCCTCGTCGTTCTGCCTCTCATATTTGCATTGCAATATATTCGCCGCGAGGCCCGCAGGGCCAGCCTGCATGAATTCCTTCAGGTCGGGCTGACGTGGGAAGATGCCGTGCTTCTCTGAGTCTGGCAGAAAATTTGAGATCCATTCTTGATCGAGGAACTTTGACCTGATGCGGATCAACCGGCTGCGGCGAAAAACAGCGTCGAATGCTGTCTCAGGGACGCCGCCGAAGGTGATGAGCTTGTTCAGCTCCATTCTTTTCCAGCCGATCAACGTTATCACCTTGGTCAGTACGGCGTACGGCAGCCGACCGAAAATGCCATCCGCCGTCGCCATTTTCTTGAACAGGTCTTCTCGGAACGACTTGTTTATCCCCTCTGGTTTTTCCTGAGCGGTCGTCGCAATTGAACCGACAAGAGATTCCACTTGCTCTCTCATTTCATCGTCCATGTAGAACACTTGCGGGTCGAAGTACCGATGGAGGTTGGACCCAAGCATATTGGACAACAAGGGCGTCGTCAATGAGAGTCCGACGCCATCGCTGCCCCAGAAGAAGAATACCTGATCGATGTTCATCCCTCGTTTGGCGAGAGCGATGGCCGCCTGGCAACATTGAAACGCTGCCGCGTTGGCCCAGTAGGTCTGACGGTAGAATCTTTCTACCCTCTGGATCGCTGCCTTGAGAGCGGGATCCCCAAACCCATGGGAGAGAAGTGAGTGCGGAAGACCAATCTATAATTTCTTGCGTTGTTGGGGCGTGGTCGTCTGGGCCAGCGTCCCCGCCTGGGTATCGTACAGGTAGGCGACGTCAATGACAGCGAATCCCTTCACGTCGGGCTTCGGGGTGCTGCACCATTCGCAGTAATACGAAATCAAGTCCCCTGTCTTGACCTTGGATTGCAATGCGTGGCCAACCCTGGCAATGGCATTGGCCTGGAAGATGTACCGCGGCTCATTGGGCTGCTGCGTATCGAGCACCGCGGGCGCAGCGGCGGCGCCTTCGTCTGCCGCGAACAAGTCCTCCCCTTCACCGTCTTCTTGCATGATGCCCTTCCCCTTGCCATCGCCCTTGCCACCTTCGCCAATCACCTCGCCGTCCAGGAGGGCCTTCCCCTTCCCCTTGCCTTTCGACAGAATCTTCGAGCCGTAATTGAAAACGGCGTTGTCGATCCACGATAGGCGGGCCTTCTTATCTTCTCTGCCCTGCCTGCCGAAGGAGCTGTCCACGGCGGCGAGGATTGCTGAATCGTTCTTATATACGTCGTCCGTGAAACTTCTGAACATTCCTTCCAAGGACAACAAGTACGACTTCATCAAAAAGTAAGTCCACTCTGGTAAAAGCCCATCGAACTTGTCGAAGCAGCCTAGCTTGTTATTCCAAAAGTAAGCTACTCCATTATGTCCGCGCAAGAAATCGTCTCCGAGGATGACGTGCAACAGCAAAACCAATTCGCGGGTGTAGATCTCAGAAAAGCGAAGCCTGTAAACGCACAAAGCTTCCATGGCCAGGCGGCGAAGCCACGGGCTCCAGTCTGGCTGTTGCGTGGCAATGCACTTGCGGTACCCGGCCGTGATCGTGAGGATGCTGTCGTCCTCCCGTCTTGGTTCTGGAACCAGGCCACTCAGGAACGCGGAATAGTTTTCCGCCTCGCCGAATAATGCATCGAAATCGGAGGTGGACGCCGCCGCGCCAGGGATTTTCAACCGCTTTCCCAGCGCATCCGAGTGGCTCCCCGCCACCGTTGGATCGGCGGCGTCGTCGTCGTCGACGTCGACGCCCATCTGCGAAGCCGCCGCTGCCCGTTCTCGACTTGAATGTTGCGCCTGCCGCGCGGTAGTTCCAGCTGGCGAACGCCCTGCTGCGGGCGGCTCCACCGCCGCCCCCGCGGCGTCTTCGCTCGGCCGCGCGGCCTCGGCAGGCTCTCTGGCAGGCGACGCTCTCGGCCCCCGCGCACTCGAGGAAGCGCCACTGCGCGCGCATGAGCCGCGCGAAGGAACATGTCTCCAGCTCTGTATCAGGTCGAAGTGGTCGGCGCCCGATGCCTGGTGATGCCTAATGAAAACCGCCAGAGGGTACCTGTCGCCGTACTTAATCTGACACAGTGTATCGGACTGCGCGACGGCTTGACCCTGAATCACTTCGCAAAAAGCCTCCATGTCGTCAAGGCCTGGGTAGCTGTCGGAAGACGCCCCCAAGAGTCGGTCAGCGGCCTTCTGCCCGCGATCCCGCGCGATGATCTCCATCATCTTTCCGCGAAAATGTTTCGCCCGATCTTCGTCTGATCTGACCTGCTCGGACGTGAGGCCGTTGCCTGTGGGCTTATGGGATCGCATCCACGCAGTCATGTCCTCCGAGGCGAGGCCGCAGTGGTAAAGGCAGTTGCCGTCATGGACAATGTTGATGTCGGGCGAATCAGGCGAGCGCTGGGGAGGCCAAGCGGGCTCGTTCGGCTCGCAGCGGGTGAATACGACCATCGAATTTCGAATGGCAGCAGCCACCTCATCCTCTGTCAACATACTATCCACTGCTTGAGTTAACGGAAAGTCAACAACACCTCGCCCCTGGCTTGGTTCGCGAGCGCCCGCGGCGCCGGCGTCGAGCTCCGAGTCGCCCGCGCCGCCCAAAGGATCTCCGTCTCCGTCGCTTAGCTGCACTTCTTGAAGCAAGGACCATTTGTGGCCAAGAACGCTTGGAATTGCATCCAAAGACCGATACTCCATGGAGACGAAGCGCCCTCCGCGACGGTCAGTGACGGTAATTCCTGCGACATGAACGCGTGCAGCCTTGAAATGCCCATGCGCGCCAGAGCGGCGCGGCGGCGGCTCCCACTTCGCGTACCTGCCAGGGCCGCTCGGCCCTCGCGGTTGCCGAACGAGCTGCAGCCCCAATTCGGCCAACCACGTGTTCCCGTGCTCAAGGGCGCGAAAAGGCCCTTTCATGTTCGTCGGGACGGGCGCTCCCAATGCGTTCAGCGCCCAGTTGAGGCACGCGAGCTCCCCCTCGCCGTCAGCGGCGCCAAGATCGCATCGGGGACCAGCCTCCGCGGCATTGCACTCCGCATTTGCAACGGGGGAACGCAGGTCGTCGGAACCATTGCTCTCGCCGAGGGCACCGCCCCTGGCGTCATCTTCGCATTCGTAAACATCGTCGAACACATTGCGAAGAGTCACGGGCTGCGGGTGCCGAAGTTGCCAATCCCTCCATCGCTCACCGGGGCTGTCGTGCCATGCATCGACGCTGACAAATGCAGAATCTGGCTCCTCATTGCCACCGCTTGACCAAGCGTCGAAATCAGAATAGGGTTCGCTCGGGGACATTGAGACTGCTCCAGCGTCTTCCATGGTGCCCAAGATCTGCTCGGCGTCGCTGCTCTGCCCGAGATAAGAGTCGCGGGTCTCGTCCTCATCGCTACCCCGCTGTTCGAAATAGCGGAGGACATCGCGAGGGGCCATGGGCCGAAGGTGCCGCATGTGCCACTCCATCCATCGCTGGTTCGCGCCAGCGAACAACTCGTCCATGTCGCTGCTGTCGTGCTCCGAGTCGGGCTCGATCGAAGACAACAGAACAGGCAGAGCGTCTGACGCGATGCCAAGAGGGCGCTCGGCGTCGCGGCTTCCTCCGATGTACGAAGTCACGTCGTCGCCTTCGCCATTGCTCCGATCGCCCGGGGCCTCGGGCACGGCGTCAACCCCGCAAGCGTCTACAACAGTGTGCCAAGTAGCGTCTGCCCCGAAGTACTCTGCCAGACATGTGACATCTTCTTCAAACTGAAACTGCTCGTCGCCGTCGATGACGTCAAAGCCATCGTCGAACACCTTCACTGCAATGTCACGGTTGTCGACGTGCACGACGTGCTTCGCATAGCGTGCTGGAGCGCTGGGGCTGTCAACATGAATAAGTTTCTTCCCAAGCGGTGCCAGGAAACGATTGCCATCCTCGATTGGTTTGTGCGGTCCGTTTTCGGACATAGCAACTTTGTGCCCAAGTTTCCGCAGCGAGATCAGAAGATACACATCTCTGTGCATCTTCTCACGGGCAAAGTCAAATGCAGTGCCAAGCAGAGCTATCAAGAACAGTCTGGCGCCGATGGAGATGTTCGCGAAAGCGGTCTTCTTTGGGCGATGCGTCGCGCAGGGAAGTCCGCGCGGCTCCGCGCCGCCCCGAAACAACTTGGCGGAAACTGTTTCGAGGTAGATGTCCTGGACGAAGCCGCCGTCGGCCAAGGGGATCATTTTGAAATCACCGACATCCGTGATCCTGCCCCCCGCAATCGCCAGCTCTCCCGCCTCTGCCCAACGGGGGACTTCAATCGTGAGAGCTGATTTGAACACGGGGGCTTTCTCGATGATGCGCATGAACTCAACGGGGAACTGCGTGTCGTGCACGCAGACGGGCGCCGTGTGGCTCACGAGCACGGCGCCGCCGCCGCACATTGCCCATTTGTGGTACCCGGCGACGATGTGGTCGTTCTTGCTCGCCTTCAGAACGTCGCCTTGCAAAAATGTGGGGAATTATACGCAAATGCCGCTTGCTAAATTGAAATCGCAGAACCTCAGGAAGCGGCGACCATGGATGTCCCAGGCTTCATGATAGCGGATGGATCGGAGATATCAAGGTGCACCGCTTCCTGGAGTTCTGGAGTTTCGTTGTCCAAGCGGCGGATGCGTGTATTCCCAGCCCCGTGCCTCGACGAATCTTTTGAGATGTTTGCCGCGAGTTGATGTCCTTGTAAGCCCAAGTGTTCTCCGTGGCAACGATGTAGTGGGAACGGGTAGCATCGATTTTGAGATTCGCCCAACATCCATGGCACTGGCGCGTGCCAGCCACGCCGCGACACGGCTCGCACAGCAAACCACCGCAGTCGAGAAGATCGCCTGGCATGTCGGTGTCCGCGTCAGCCCACTGAAACTTCGTAGACTTGATGACAGCGGGCGGCATGCTGGTATAGCACTCGGCACTATCACGGAGGCGGGTCACAGATAGTGTTGGCGAAGAGACAGAAAGGACAACGTTTGAGCCTACACGGCGGAATCCCACAAATCCTTCATAAGAGCCTTCAAAAAAGAGTGTAATCGTGAAGTTTATAAGAGGAATCGGCCAAGACACGCCAAGATCCTTTTCGGGTGTGTTGCGGATGCCGATCGGGCGCTCTCGGGATGCTTACTGGAGATCTCCAGAGGCCCCCCCCCCAAAAAAGGAACGGGAAACGCCAGGGATACATCAGGGAAGCACAAGGGAATTAAGATGCGTTCAGCATCCTCCGAATCCACCCGCAAAGCGCACGCAAGGCACCCGCAAAGCATCCCAAAGGCACCCCCCTAAGCACCCCACGGACACCCCCTAAGCAGCCTCGTCGTCGTCGTCGTCGTCGTCGTCGTCGCCATCGTCGTCGTCGTCGTCGTCGTCGTCGTCGTCGTCGTCGTCGTCGTCATGATCATCATCATCATCATCCTCATCCTCATCCTCATCCTCATCCTCATCCTCATCCTCATCACCATCATCACCATCATCATCGCCACCATGTTGTGTATCCCTCGCGGGTACGGCCTCGGCTGCTCCTTCGAACGGGGCCCGCCGATCATGCTGGACTGGCACGGTGGCGGGACTTGCCGCAGGCAATTGGATAGCTAGCACGATTGTCGCCAGTCGAGATAGCTTGCACGATTGTCGCCAGCCTCGTCGTCGTCACCATCATCATCATCATCATCATCATCAGCAGCATCATCATCATCATCACTATCATCATCATCATCGCCAGCATGTTGGTCATCCCTCGCGGGTACGGCCTCGGCTGCTCCCTCGAACGAGGGCCGCCGATCATGCTGGACTGGCAGTGGCGGGATTTGCCGCAGGCAGCGGGATAGCTAGCACGAGTGTCGCCAGTCTCGTCATCATCATCATCATCACCATCACCATCACCATCACCATCATCGTCATCGTCATCGTCTTCGTCATCATCATCATGATCGTCGTCGTCGTCGACATCATCATCATCGTCATCATCAGCATCATGGCCATCATGATCATCATGATCATCATGATCATCATGACCATCATCATGATCATCATCATGATCATCATCATCATCGTCATCCTCATCCTCATCACCATCACCATCATCATCTTCCTCATCATCGCCATCATGTTGTTCATTCCTCGCGGGTACGGCCTCGGCTGCTCTTTCGATCGAGGGCAGCCGAGCATGCTGGACTGGCACGGTGGTGGGACTTGCCGTAGGCAGCGGGATAAATTGCACGATTGTCGCTAGCCTCCCCCCGAAAGGAGGCGGCTCTTCGGCGCTCTGCCCGACGCTCCAGACCGAGCACGCAGTGTCAAAGGGGACAAAATGGACAAAGGGGGGACAAAGGGGACAAGGGGGACAAAGGGGACAAAGGGAACAAAGGGGACAAAGGGGACGAAGGGGACAAAGTGGACAAAAGGGAACCAAAGGGGACCGAAGGGGGCAAAGGGGACAAAAGGGACAAAGGGCACCGAAGGGGACAAAAGGGACAAAGGGGACAAAGGGGACAAGGAGGAAAGGGTCGACCGAGGGTTGACCGAGGCAACACCGACGACGACAAGCCCCCAGAGCACCCGAAAGCACGCGGGAGGCACCCGAAAAACACCCGGTAAGCACACAGTGAGCACCCGCTAAGCACACGAAAGGGACAAAGGGGACAAAGGGGACCAAAGGGGACCACAGGGGACAAAAGGGACAAAGGGGATCAAGAGGACAAAGGGGACAAAGGGGACAAAGGGGACAAAGAGGACAAAGGGAACAAAGGGGACAAAAGGGACAAAGCAGGACCAAAGGGGACCGAAGAGGACAAAGGGGACAAAAGGGACAAAGGGCACCGAAGGGGACAAAGGGGACAAAGGTGTCAAATCAAAGGGGACAAAGAGGACAAGTGGGACAAAAGGGACAAAGAGAACAAAGGGAACAAAGGGGACAAAGGGGACAAAGTGGACAAAAGGGAACCAAAGGGGACAAAGGGGACAAAAGGGACAAAGGGCAACGAAGGGAACAAAAGGGACACAGGGGACAAAGGGGACAACGGGGACAAAGGGGACAAAGGGAACAAAGGGAACGAAGAAGAACAAAGGGGACAAAGGGGATAAAGTGGACAAAAGGGAACCAAAGGGGGACCGAAGGGGACAAAGGGGACAAAAAGGACAAAGGGCACCGAAAGGGACAAAAGGGACAAAGGGGACAAAGGGGACAAGGGGGACAAGGGGGACAAAGGGAACAAAGGGAACAAAGGGAATGAAGGAGACAAAGGAAGCAAAGGGGACAAAGGAGACAAAGGGGACCAAAGGGGACAAAGGGCACCGAAGGGGACAAAGGGGACCCGAGAGGTGCCCGCAAACCGCCACCAGGCGAAATCGGAAAGAATAATTTCTTCGAAAATTGATGAACGTACGATTCAAATGAGCACGCTGAAAACAATGAAATGCGTCCGGTTGCCCAGGAACCCCTGTTTGAACCCCCCAGACCAGCCCAAACATCTCCAAAACATGCACATACTTTCCTCTTTTCAGAAGCCTGAAAAAGCCCTCTTGGGGCGGCGGTGAGCACTACCAATGGTGAAGCATGCCCGGGATCTGTAGGAATGTGCAGGCGAGAAGAACCATTGCGGGGATGCGGTACGCACGTCCGTATATAACCTCAAAAATGTTTTTGACGGGTTACAAATTGATGGATTACAAATTGATGTATTCCTTTTGCGGGAGATTACACATTGATTCCTTGAGTGTCAATTTCAAAAATACAAGAAATTGTAAAATTTCATTTTTCTTTTAAGAAAGAAAGAAAAAACAAACGACCTTGGACCCCAGAGAATCACCGCCGACCGTCCCCTGAGTTCCAGGATAATTTCATTTTTCAATTTTTACATTTTTTTTTTTTTTTTTCAATTTTTGCAATTTTTGCAATTTTTGCAATTTTTCGAATTGCCACACATTGATTCCCTTTGTGGCGGATTATAAATTGATTCCCTGTGTGGCGGATTACAAATTGATTTCCTTTGTGGCGGATTACAAATTGATTCCCTTCGTGGCGGATTACAAATGGATTCCTTTTGTCGGGGATTACACATTGATTCCTTCTGTGTCAATTTGAAAAATGGAAAAATTGAGAAAAATAAAAAAACGACCTTGAACCTCAGAGACTCACCGCCGACCGTCTCCTGAGTTCCGGGGTAATTTATTTTTTCAATTTCTTTCAATTTTCTCAATTTTTCAATTTTTCAAGTTGCCACACATTGATTCATTTTGTGGTGGAGTACAGGTTGATCCCCTTTTGTGGCGGATTACAAACTGATTCCCTTAGTGGCGGATTACAAATTCATGTCCTTTGTGGCGGGTTACAAATTGATTCCCTGTGTGGCGGATTACATATGGATCCCTTTTGTGGGGGATTACACATTGATTCCTTGTGCGTCAATTTGAAAAATTACAAGAATTGAGAAAATTCAGAACAATAAAAAAAACAACCGATCTTGGACCCCAGAGACTCACCGCCGACCGTCTCCTGAGTTCCAGGATAATTAAATTTTATATTTTTTCCTATTTATAATCTTTGCAGTTTTTTCAACTTGCCACACAATGATTCCTTTTGTGGCGGATTATGAGTTGATTCCCTGTGTGGCGGATTACATATTGATTCCCTTTGTGGCGGATTGCAGCTTGATTCTCTTTGTGGCGGATTACACATTGATTCCTTATGTGGTGGATTACAAATTGATTCCGTTTGTGGCGGACTACAAATGGATTCCTCTGGTGGGGGATTACAAATTGATTCCTTTTGTGTCAATTTGTTTTTTTGTGGAAAAAACCAAAAAAACTACCTTGAACCTCAGAGACTCACCGCCGACCGTCTCCTGAGTTCCTTTTTTTTTTTGTTTTCTTCATTTTTTCGATTTTTCAATTTTTCAAATTGTCACACATTGATTCCCTTTGTGGCGAAATACAAATTGATCCCCTTTTGTGGCGGATTACAAATTGATTCCTTGTGTGTCAATTTGGAAAATTATAAAATTGAAAAAACTGAAAAAATTAAAAAACAAACGACCTTGGACCCCAGAGAATCACCGCCTACCGTCTCCTGAGTTCCAGGATTTTTTTTTCTTATTCTCATTTTTTTGTTATTTATTAGCATTTTTTTTGCAATTTTTCAAATTGCCACACATTGATTCCCTGTGTGGCAGATTATAAATTGATTTCCTTTGTGGCGGATTACACATTGATTCCCTTTGTGGCGGATTACAGATTGATTCCGCTTGTGGCGATTTGAAAGCGCGATTGTTTTTTGAAGCAATTTGAAAAACACACACAGATTTCATTACATTCAAACAACACAATTTGAAAATCGATCGTTTTTTTAATTCGGTTACCTGGTACTACAATCATCTCCAATCCCCGCGCCTTCCGAGACGTTCTCGGTGGCCTCGGCCCTCGCGCCCTCGCGCGAGGGCCGAAGGCTCGCGCCCTCGCGCCCTCGCCCCCCATTGTCGCGCCTTCGAGCCCTCGCGCCCTCGCGCCTGCGCGCCTTCGGGAAGGCTCGAGGCCTTCCCGAGCCTTCTGATAGGGCCTGCTCCTCCTCCTCCTCCTCCTCCTCCTCCTCCTCCTCCTCCTCTCCTCCTCCTCCTCCTCCTCCTCTCCTCCTCCCCCCCAAAGCCCCCCGCCCGGCGCGCCGCCCTCGTCCTCCTCCTCCTCCTTCTCCTCCTCCTCCTCCTCCTCCTCCTCCTCCTCTCCTCCTCCTCCTCCTCCTCTCCTCCTCCCCAGCCTCCTCCTCCTCCTCCTCCTCCTCCTCCTCCTCCTCCTCCCCCCCCCCAAGCCCCCCGCCCGGGCGCGCCGCCGATCCGGAGCTGCGCGGGGCAGGCTTCTGGAGGCCTCGCCGGGGTCTCTGGAGGGCGTGGCGTCGCCACGGCGGGCTCCCCGCGAAGCCTCTGGTCAAGACTCGGGGGTGGACAGAACCCCCAACAGTGACACATCGATGAGTGAATTGTCCGATTTCGGTTCTCGAGAGGGCGCCGCGGCCGTCATTTTCCAGGCTCGCGCCCGCCAGGTTTGGGCCCGAGGGCGTTTTCACTAAACCACGTTTTGCTAAAGGGGGCTTTGTCCATCCCCGAGGTCAGGACGCGCCCCCGAATCTGCCCGGGGGCGGTCTTGAGAGCGAGGGGGTGGGGGAGTAGAGGCCTCCCAGCTGGGGTCGGAGTAGATGGGGTCTCCGGAGGGCGCCGCGTGGCCACGGCGGGTTCCCCGCGAAGCCTCTGGCCAGGACGCGCCCCCGAATCTGCCTGGGGGCGGGGTGGGGGAGTAGAGGCCTCCCAGATGGCCTCTGGTCAGGACGCGCCCCCGAATCTGCCCAGGGGCGATCTTCAGAGCGGGGGATGGGTGGGGGAGTAGAGGCCTCCCAGATGGGGTCGGAGTAGAGGGGGCCGAAGGATTTCGTCGCATCGCTGGTGCATCGGCAATGCATCGGCGAGGCATTGGCGATGCGCAGGCGAGGCCGGCGATGCATTGGCGCCGTCGGCGCGGCGAAAGTCGGGCTCCGCGTCAAGCTGCATCGCCGAGGCATCGGAGATTCCTCCGACCCCATCTACTCGGACCCATCTCTGGGAGGCCCAGAGAGGGGGGGGCGAGGGGGGGGACGACGAGGAGTTTCGAGCACATGTTCCCTGTCTTCGGAGTCTGGAGAAGCCGTGCTCGGGCCCCCGGGACCGTCAGACATCGAGCCGTGTGGAAGAATTTTGGCCAGGATGGACCCCG